TCACTGAAGAGGTGTTTACATTCAGCGATGGTGAAAACGGGATGTTTTTTTTTCTTTTCGTCAGACCATATAAGCAGCTGAAACACACCACCCGCCGCCAGTTGTTCCAACAATAACGTTAGCATGCTAATGCGCTTAGCGGTGCTGCGAGGAAACATGTCCCCAGGGAAACAGTTCACTGGCGGCCGCGACGAAACATTCTGCACATGTTCAGGCTATTTACACCGGTATTCAGAAAAGTCATATAACAAAAATAAAAACCAGTTTTCGGTACAAAACAGTATACCGCCCAGCACTAGCTGAAAGCTAAGCTAGTTAGCTTCTAGTTAACCTTTGACTACTTCTAGCGTTTTGCTGCTTTAGCTTTTACTTCACCTTTTACTGCTTTTAGCTCGGGTTTTTTGTTACTCCAGCCATTTGCTGATTTAGCATTTAGTTCATATTTTACTGCTTGTAGCTATTCTTTTGCAGCTTTAGCCTTTTACTGCTTTTAGCTTTTACCTTGTAGCTGGTGTTTTGTTACTTAGGTCTTTTTGTTTTGGTTCTTTTAGCTTCAACTCAGTTTCAGCTGTCATTCTGCTGCGTTAATTTTGTTTCTCCCATTTTATTTAGGCTAAAAAGAAGCTAAAGTTCGGTCTCTAACAGCTGATTGGCTGTAAATGTTTGTTTGTATTTCAGGCACGAGTGGTGTTTTGCTCCGCAAAGTAAACGGAACAGCGATCGTTCAGCTTCCTTCAAAGAGGCAAGTTCAGGTGAGAGAAGTTCAACATGCTTTATTATTATTATTATTGTTGTTTTTGTCATTATTATTATATAATAAACTTATTACTCAAAATATTTGTGGTGCAGGCCACGCCCCACATGACAAAAGACAACAGTTAACAAAACTGGTGGAACTTAATGGGATTTTATTGAAACTCAAGAAAATCTGTCTGTAGACCTCTACTTTTTAGGCTTTAACAAAACGTAGCTAAAAGCTTTAAAASGTTAACTTAAAAAGCTAAAACAGCAAAAAGCTAAAGTAAAAAAAAAAAAGTCAACAGCTAACCAAAATCTAAAACACTAGCTACACGTGGTTAAAGCCTGAATAGAGGCTAAAAGCAATACAAGTTTAACTAGAAGCTAAAGAAGCAAAATGCTAAAGAAGCAAAGCACTAGCTAAAAGTAGTCAAAGGCTAACTAAAAGCTAAAACAACAAAACAATTAAAAAGCAGTCAAGGCRAACAAGAAGCAAAAGCAGCAGAAGGCTAAAGTAAAAAATTATAGCTGAAAGTAGTCAAGTTCTAACTAGAAGCTGAAGTATCAAGTGGCTAAAGAGGCTAAAGACTAGCTAAGAACAGTGTAACTAGGAGCTAAAACAGTAAAAGGCCAAATGCAGTAAAAGTTGCAGTAACATTACCTAAAACCGTTAACTAAAAGCTAAAGTAAAAAAAAAAACACGAGCTAAAGCAGTCAAAGGCTAACTTAAAGCTGAATTATTGAAATACTAAAAAGGATCAACACTAGCTAAAAGTAGTAAAATGCTAAAGCAAAAAAACACTATCTGGAAGCTAAAGCAGCAATAGCTTACAGTAACTAAACATTAGCTGAAAGCAGTCTAAGTTGGAGCTAAAACGGTAAAAGGCTAAAGAGGCTAAACACTAGCCAAATGCAGGAAAAATTACAGTAACATAACTACCTAAAACCATTAACTAAAAGCTAAAGCAGCAAAAAGCTAAAGTAAAAAAAAAACACGAGCTAAAAGCAGTCAAAGGCTCACTAAAAGCTGAAGTATCAAAATACTAAAAAGGATCAACACTAGCTAAAAGAAGTAAAATGCTAAAGCAAAAAAAAAAAAACACTTATCTGGAAGCTAAAGCAGCTTACAGTAACTAAACATTAGCTAAAAACAGTCAACTGAATTTTTAGCTTAAAATCTTGAAGAAATTTTATGGCCCCAGTTTTTCTTTATACATTAACTTTTAAATTACCTTAAAGTTTGAATCAACTTCATACTCACAGATTTTATACAACTTGTTGACTTGCAGACAAAGTCTGTAGCTGCTTTAATTTTCTCGATTTTTATTTYTTTATTTTTTCCYTTTTGTTAAATTTTCCAGTTAAAGCAGCAGCTCTGCCTGTAAATATTTGTGCCCAGGTTCTGGAGACCTGCATGGTGACGGTGGGCCGCGTCTCCAACGTGGACCACAACAAGCGGATCATCGGCAAAGCCGGACGCAACCGCTGGTTGGGGAAACGCCCCTCCAGCGGCAAATGGCACAGGAAGGGCGGCTGGGCGGGGAGGAAGATCAGACCTCTGCCTCCGATGAAGAGCTTCGTCAACCTGCCGTCCGGGGCCAAGTGACCCCGCCTCGTCAAAAAAAACAACACGAGCTGTTTTTGTACAGAAGATTAAAAACTTTTATTAAAGACAACTGCTTGTGAGAGCATGGAAAAAAACTCAAATTATAAAAAAATCCAAAAACATATTTACATCTATAGTAAAACATGCAGAATAACCCATATTTTTTTTATTTTATTTTAGTGGTGAATTTAAAAATACTGTCATGTCGTCTAAAATAGGGTTTGTGCAAAGACACCGGGTGGCTTTTCAAGTAACYGGAGCAATGAGATGGCATGTCGTCATTGTAGTTCGAGCAGGAGAATAAGCTTTAACACTGTTTTTATTTGAAGAGTAATCACAGTGACAAAGTGCCTGCTCATTGATCCAGCCTTGTACAACACCCACATGCTACCTCCGGGGGGYAAAAACAAACAAAAAARGCTGAAATACGTTTATTCGGTATTTCGTTGGCTAATTTGCTCGAACAGATGGTAAATATCAACTTAAAACGAACAAAAGTAAAGCCGTGATGGTTTTTTTTTTTT